ATAAATCTATTATTTCCATAAACAACTTGATGGCACGTGACAAACAATGCTTCACCTCGGATAAGCTAAAGATTAGTTTAAATCCTCTAAACATTGTGTAAAATTTGCACAATTGTAAAGCAAATAAACATGTTATGGTTTTATTGATACGTCATTTAGCAGATGTAAAGAAATAATACAAAGATTTAACAGCAATTTAATATCAAAGTCTTATAAACGCAGACTGATGTTCGGACCGTTATCAGGGAATTATTTTTATGTCTTATTAAGTACTAGAAGATTAAAGACTAAAAGGGATTTAAATAAGGATGCTTATCATTAAATCACACTATTGATATGGACAATTATTGTTAAATAGATTTATGGAAAAGCCCTATCAATTAGCATTTCCAAACATCGCTTGCCAATTGCTATTTGATATTACGATGTATCTTAACATATGTTCCGCTTTGACGGCACAGGCGACTAAACACACACGATGGAACATGTGAAATCGCGAACCAGGCATGGGATGATCGGCCGTCGACCCACACCGAAATAGCTAGCCTTGACCGCGCCCTGCCTGACCCACTACTCACCCGGGGCACGTCCTGACTTGTTTGTACCGCCATGGGCTTTATGACAAAGATCTTTGTTTTTTCTATGTTTCATCGTAATTTATGAATTTACACATGTTCTGTTCGTATCATCGTTATGACAGATCAATGACCCAGCTAATACCATACTGAAAGTTACATACTTTTATACAATCATTTTAATATAAATATATATGTTATTCCCTAAGCAAAGACGACACATTCATATCTAATTTAAGTTAGCCTCCATACTACCTTTGTCCACGTTTCACCACTTAAGAACATAATACTCTTATTTCCATTTCCGTGGAAAAAAAGATGAAGCAAAGGTTTGGAATAAGTTGCCAGTATCAACGTTTCTGCCAATTTACTTCTTCAAAAATCTTATCGTTTATAACTTTAACTATATAGAAACGCTACTAAGATTAAAATGAATCATGTACATATGAATTAAAATTAATCATACTTATAATACTTTCATATTCCTAATTCATCTTTATAGCAACATCTAAGTAGGAAAATCTGTCTGTCTCACGCTCAGTTTATGCGTCTGTTAGTGAATTACAACGTGCACTGGCGGTTTGCTTCTCAGAAGGCATGCGCACGCGCATCATAAACAAAACCTTACGGCGCAGGAATGCGTACATCAGATCAGACATGTTATATTTGAACAACAAACGCCTCACTCTCAAAACGATTCTATTGAATCAATTTAAAATATAATTTATATATGCTCCTGTTTATTTGTTTGATAGATATTGAATATTCATATCAATAAACTAACTTCCTGATATCTGTTACAATATCAGAGAAGAGAATTTAGTCTTCCCAAGTATTTAAAACAAACACTATCAATTATAAAAATTATGTAATTCAATCTCTAAGAAAAAGATTCTAGATGTTATGTTCGCAATTACAAATAGTTATAGAAGACGTGACGTGTGTTTGGCGAAGACGAAGGCAACAGGCCGCGGAGGTCGGCGCACGTGGCCACTTTCCCACGGGCCGCGGGGGTCGCCGGCAGACTGCCCGCCGAATCCCGAACACTTTTGTATTTGGAACGCGACCTCCACTAAAACGATTTGTCGTTTTTTTCTTAAGTCTCTTTAGCCAGTTTTGCCATAAGGATAAGTTCCGTTTTAAACAAATTATTTTGATTAAAACGGAATTATTTGAAATAACATTTTATGGATTTTTAAACAGTAATTAATAACCAAGATACGAGACATTTTAAAACCCGATTGGTCAATCGGAATAGAACTATAATTTCAATCAACCCTAATTTGTTTAGTAACTACAGTTTTCTGGACCTTAAAATGGCCATTAACCACTAAACTACATTGTATTTAATACAATTTCATTTCCTTATTCCAAACAACAATAATACAAGAGTCGATGTGCAAATCCACCAGAAACAGACTAAGCAGAGCGCTGCAATAAATTGTTAAGGGACGGCTGTATCGAGGTCGGAGTACGGAGGGATATACGCAGGACTTAACACGGCGCCGGCTCATTTCTGTAACGAGTTAACTACAGAAATATTATGATATATTTTGTTACTGTTACAGATGATCTATACAAACAAAAACACTGCTACAACTGCTACAATTTGAAGACTTTGGATATTGACTGCAATACTTGCATAAATAGTAAATTATAGCTTAGATTTGTTTATTTATAACTAACGATATAAATATATTTTCATAATTTAAATAATATTTATCTTGAAAAAAATAATAAAGTTTTAATTTATTGAAACACAAGACTTGCAACGCCATCTAGTATCAGATAGTTGAATTACACACATTCTGTCCAAGTAAATAAAAAGAACAGCGTTTAATCATAATCGTATGAGAATAGCTCAATCTAATATATTTTTTTATTTCCTCCCTTAACATGTCCTACTAAAGATATAATAACTACTGTACTCTATCTATTGCCGCTTAGCTTAAGCGCTAAAGTAAAATAAAAAGCCGAATAATGCCGAAAAAAAAAAGAAAAGTTGTACGAGAAGTTATGAAAAATATATACTTAAGTACAAACATTTTTAAAATGTTAAAAGAGAAGCAATAAGAATAGCGTTACAATTTATTTTCTAAACGGAGCTTGGTCAAGTGCGATCAATGCAGACACAATCACTTAAGCTATAAATAACCAAAGGATCGATAGTCGATCCGTTGCACCGAAATAGCTTGTATTTGGAAAGGAGCGTGCATCTCTATTGTATTCTTAATGGCCGCTTTAACCAATGCATAAAATCCGCAAGAACTACGACTTCGGAAAATTGCATTTTAAAATTCAATTATATATATATATATATATATATCTCGGAATCGGCTCCACCGATTTTCATAAAATTTAGTATATAGGGTGTTTCGGGGGCGATAAATCGATCTACCTAGGAATCATTTTTAGAAAATGTCATTTTATTCGTGTTTTATCAATAATCGACTTAAACATAAATTTAACTTTTTCTATCGGTAAGATCGAAAAATATTATTCATATTTCATCATTTTATTAGTAATTCGTACTTAAATATAATTTCCAAAAAACACAATTTCAAAAAAAAAATAGTGAGCAAAGCTCGGTCATCCAGATTTTTGCTACATAATTTGTCAACATTTTATAATATATAAAACATCACAATCATGCAATATCTAACATATTCGTGTTTTTAATCTTATCTATCATCTCATCTTACTTTCACAGACTATAAAACAAGACACGCTGTCTGTATGTATTCTCCATTTAAATTGCACGTCATTGCAGCGTACGTTAAAAATAGCTGGATATATGCTGATGTCAAATCACGCAACCTAGCAACACTATTGTACTTTCGCGCCATTTCTCAATTCAATATGGCAACTTTCCATGATAATTTTTACGATGTACGTCTAGATTCATAACCTAACTTTGTCTACGTTGAAATTCGTATCCATTGTCAATCCATATTAAACAATAAGGAGTCAATTTACCAAAATCGAATTTAAATTTTCTATCGACTACACTAATATATCTACTAATCATAAACTTAAAAAATTTATAGAATTTTAAAGACAATAAAACCCTATCATATGTAGTATATTTCAAAGCAGGACTAATCTCCAGAACAACAAAATCTAAGCCAGGACTTCTTATGAGTTCTTAAGTAATATTGCAAATGAGACGCTGTAGTCTTCGACTTATTTATATTTTGTACTGAACAAATCATATTTAGAATATCAACAAAATAATCGTGATATAATGGAAACACGTCAACAACGAACATTAGTATTCTGCAGTGGAGGGCACGACTAGAATTTACTGTTATAGCGGCGTGCATCTCCCTGCAAGATGCACCATCTCGCGCCGCCGACTGGCACTGGCGACGATTTACAAGCTCAGTGCGACGTTCATGAATTCCTGGAATACTGACTAAATTCTTCAATATTCTAAACATTCATTTTCGTAATGTGTGTATACCGTCAAAATAAAGTGGTGATCATAATAATCTCTATAGTCTGTTCTCAATAGGCCAACGTCCAACAACCAAAGTAAGGATGACGTCATGACGAGAAGCTATACATCACAATTATGAAAGATATGTGACGTTGATGGATTTTCACACGGTGACCAGCAAGCGGAGAATCGGTAAATCAACACAATACTGAATGAACGTAATTGGGCCCAATGTTGGCGAATTAAGTGCGGTTTTGTGAACAACAATGATGCAGCCTCATTGTGCGCGCCCAATCGTGTGAATAATGAAGCGATTGACTTTTATTGGGCGTTTGGTGACGCGGAACTACAAGTGTTTGTAAATATTTACTATATTAAACTCCCACGATCTTGTTACAATTCTAAGCTACAAATAACTTTTATGTAAATTTTACAAGTATAAAGAGCGCCTGACAATTTATAAACAGCAAAATCTTATATCAACAAAATATGAACATCCAAAAACTGGTTATTACAGTCATCATCAGTTAATATATAAAATTATCTTAGTAGACTCGTTAGATGTGCAATCTATACAAATTATTTAAAAAAGGGTGCCGGTAGGTAATATTTGTCTGTCTATCTGTCTGTAAATCCGCGTTTTTTCCAAGTCATCTCCGAAACGGCCGAAGGCAGCTATAGCTGATGTTTATGAGTAACTTGAAATATTTTTTTTTGCGCGATGACGAAGTCGCATGCGATCGCTAGTAATCTTATAACAAATAAGTAAGTACATTTTATACTTTTCAAAGCGAGAAATACAATAATAAAAATAACCAAAAAAAGTCTAGGTCAATATTTTAATAATGTAAATAATAATAAATACACTGGTTGAAATATTTATATTCGCTCAATTAATAACTTTGACAGAAGTGCAAGTTATGTCCTTGAAGGTGTCTTACTAATAATTACGTTCAAAATTATGTTGAGTCCGAGGCAAAGGCAACATAACCATTCGATCCACTCGCGTCGCTTGTGCCACTACTGTGAATAACATCAAATAAAATAATAAAAAATGGAGAAAAGCGTGATTATTATAGTGTTATTTTTTTCGTGCTTTGAACACACACAACAACTAATCCCATTACGTAAGTATATTTTTAATAAATTTTTTTCTAACTACCTTTTTTTTCTAGTGTTGGTAATATTTACAAACATTGAAAAGCGATTTTTGATTATATATTTTTTTACGAATACGATTTGAAATATTAGCAGCCTGTTAATTTAAACAGTAGAAAAGCACAAGACATTTGGTTTAGATATAAATTCTGCTCTAAAATATTCATTAAAAAATTATTACTAGACTACAGAAATTGACAATATTTTAACAAAGTTTTCCCATAAACTGTTTAGGTACGTAAATTAGACTAATTATAAAACACAGATCCCAATTACCTCGCATTTTCCATCCCTAAATTTAAATATTATTACTAATATTATTAAATCAATTTTCATTTAAATATATGAAAAAATAAAAAAAAATATCTCAAAATATGAACTGTTGCGTTTGTCAGTTTTTATTCGTTATATAAGTTGACCCAGTTTCTTGACCCAAAGGCCGTTGATGAAATCTTTTCGTCGAGTGCATTGTTTATCTCTACAACATGCAAATAAAGTTTAATAACCTTAAAACTGAGGTCGACTATCGTAATATAAGGCAAAAAATGACAAACAGGTACATGACAAATGTATAAGGTAAAAAAGTTTTACCAAAATTGAGAAATACACAGACGTTCGTTATAACGAAAATTAAATAGAGAAGAAAATAATGTAACAATTACTTTTATAGTAGAATTGGCTTCGACTGATGAGAGTACTAAAAGTTAGTACGAAAAAACATTAATGGGGAAACATATTTAAATATTTTTTACAGATATATAAAAGTGTAATTTACTATAAAATATATTATTAATACAGCGAATTCAACACAGTTACAAATTATATAAAGGCATGTCTATATTTACATATATTTTTTTCATTTCATTATTCACAGCTGACTTCATCCATCCTTGCAGCGAACTAAATGATGAATGCTTCACACAAGCTACGCTAGACGCCATACCTGGCGTTGTCAGAGGAATCCCGGAGGCGGGCATCCCTCCCCTGGACCCTCTTTACCTGGACAAGAACATAACGATGGCCCTCCCCGGTAACGTCAAGATGACATTCCACAACGGAAAACTACTGGGACTTAGCACCTGTGTGCCGAGTAAAGTTTCGTAAGTAAAATTATGTAAGCAACTTGACATCGTATGCAATACAATCGTATGACCTCATAAGGTAGGCAGAGTTTTATATTCTAATAAATTCTAGGTTTAACCAAAGATTTGAGAAAAGTGCTACGTGAAAAATGGTCGACAGTGATTGGAACTTTTTAAGCTATCGTACTTAGATAGCTCTGAATCTAAGCCTGTATAGATGAATTATTTAAAGACATTATGTTCTTAATACTATCTACCTATTCTTAAGAGATTTAGATGAATAGAGATGATAGCAGAAAAACTATTCTTCTTTTTAATTACTACATTATTTACATCATACGTTTTGAAAAAAAAATTGCAACTTTGTTAGTACCTACATATTACAAGTCTTTAAAATTATAATTACGCTTTGAAGAGCAATAAAATATAACGAGATTAAAGGTAAAGTGCATTTTTCTAGTCTTTTCTAGGAATATTACGTAAATACGAAGTACATTGCACTCCACTCTTGTGCGTCGTACGAAATCGGGGTTAAATATCGAAAGCCGAGCCATATCGTTATACGAACGTGGCCGTAATGAAAATATTGCCAAATAGACCTGTCGCGAACATAAATTTAAGAACTTCTAGAACAGTGAAATGTAGAGTTACACCAAATTTAATAGTTTAGACATGGCAGTGTTTAAAAACGAACAATCTCATATTTGCTACATATCTATGAAACAGATCGCGTCGTGAGCAGCGAACATTTGTTTTCGACATCCAGTGCAACTTTACCATCAAAGGCCATTACAGCATTGTTGGAAGGATACTGCTTTTCAACCTTAACACGGACGGCAATGCAAAGATTAAAATATGTAAGTAACTTTAGCCGACAGTCTATTAACAGATGACTCTTTTATATTGTCATGGCTTTACCCTTGAATAGTTATTTTTTAGACTCATATTTGCTTATTCATTGTTTGTTATCAAATAACATACATAGTAGAAACGTATATAAGTGAAACTTTACTTATCTTTAATATATCTCCTAAGAAACAAATTATAACGCCATTTGCAAAGTATATCCGTTGTATGCATAATGACTTGAATTATTCACTTCCTATCACGCAATGGTTAACTATCGAACTTTGTACCTACATCAAAAAATTTGACAAAACTTAGATGTCATGGGTAAATATTGAAGTGGTATATTTTCTGCTACGAGTGTCCGTGGCTCAGGGGTTTTAGCACTTGACTTGTAAATTTATCCGACATTTTTACGGTGAAGGACAACATCGTGATGCAACCTGCATATATCTGAGAAGAAATTCAAAAATATATGTGAAGTCAACCAACCTGCAATTTTCTTTTTCTAGGGAATCAAAAAATCCATCTAGAGGTTCTCGAAAAGGTTGTTAAAAACGACAAAGGCGAGGGTCATTACAAGATAAACTCTTACAAATACAAAGCAGACTATGGGACGGACTTGAAACTCAACTTGACTAATTTATTTAGAGGAAGCCCAGAAATTAGTAAGTATCGTAAATTAATGTATTGAAATTCAAAACCTCTAACGACGACAAAAAGACCTTAGGGTCCTTTCACACAGACAGGGCACAGAGCAAGCAGATTCTTTATCGCAAGTAAAATTGAACCTTACAAGATTGAAACAAGGTTTAATGTTAGTTTCGAAGTCTTTTCGTATCGAGAGCAAGCGTAAAAAAGACGTGAAATGTAGTCCTAAACCTTGTTCCAACTGTATAAGGATCAATTTTATTTGCGATAAAAATACAAGGATTGCAACTAAACAGCTACATTATAAAATTGCGAAATTTTAGTACCTATGAAACTCCTTAGTTAGAAAAGACAAGATATAGTTTATTGAATTAATCCAGAAAATATATACTGGCTGAAAATAAAAATCAAAATTAAAAAATATATATCACTAAAAAAAACAATCTTCATTCCAGGCGCCAACATTCTAGGCGTGCTCAACTCGAATTCGCAACTAGTCGCTCAGGAGTTCGGAGGGCCGATCCTCGATTACGCTATAGACTACGCAATGAATGTCACGCAGAAGTTCTTTGATGCGTACACATACGACCAGATCAGCCATGTTCCTCTCACGGATGACTTCTTTGAAGAGGATTGATTTACTATAAATAGTTTAGATACTTTAAAAGACTATGAGATGCTACATCTTATATTAATTAAGCGTAAATTAATATGTAAATTAACGGTAATCGTTGGTTTCTGAGTCCAAAATCTCTATATAAAACATGTTATTTCTGTTTTGTCAAAGGTAATGAAAGAGATGATGATAAGTTTTATACTAATGTGTAATCTTTGGTTTTTGAAACCAAAGATTAGATAGCCTTGAAGTATTAAGAAATCACTTGGTCTCGATAATACAGCATTCCTTGTCCTAATCCTAACCTATCATTATAGACCTTAAAAAATAAATAAAGCCATGGTAGACTTTCGTACGACTGAGCTAAATATTTCATACAAAAACTTTAGTATTTGTATTTTAAATGCGTATTTGTTGTAAATATATGCGTGTAAATCCATTTAGAGATTAATAACTAATTACTTACGTGGGTGGGTAGCTGATGATATTTGTGTTAAATCATTACGTGTCAATAAAAATTGACAATTTTCTTCACTTCACAATAAACATTACCCGCATTTCAACACTAGTTTTTCCATATCACACACAATATTAAGTTCATTTTAAATAAACGCTCACATCACTTGTATAACACACAACAAAATTATTATTTTAGAAGTACTTATTCGTTGTACATCTCATTTTAGAAAATTCGATTTCATGTTACAGTAATCACAACTGTCAAAACTTTTTATTTTCTTTTTTAAAAAGCACAAATCTTTCTCGACTGCCAGTCTGCCAGCAACATTAATTTAGTTTTAGTTTGTAACCTAAACGTATTTGTAGGTAATAATACTTTTAAATAAATTTTAAATAGCGTTTTATTTTTTTTTATATAAATGGAAACGAAATTGTGCAAGCACTTACCAATGATTCAAATATACTTTCCTATATGTAAGATAGTTGTTTTAATTGTTATAACCACAACTTATTGTTAAATTGATGGTTAACATAAACATAAATTCCGATGTTTTAAAACACAAGTTTAAATAAAAGTATTGTATATCGATGTTTGAAAAGCAATTTATTTTTGGTTAGGAATTTTATTAAGGCTTTAATCTACTAAATGTTCTGTATGACAATTTATTTCGTTCTTTGAACTATTTCTGTAGCAAATCACGCGAAGCGGGTCTATCGTCTGAAAACTTTAAAACATAATTTAATTTTATAGCCTTTGCAGGGAACAAATAACATTTCGTTCGACTTCGCTGACAATCTCATTCCGAATTCTCTGAATACATGATATATATTGTTTATTAACCGATTCGGAACGCGATTCGTTTTTGTTAAATGTCCTAAAAATCACGCGATTTCTTTATATTGCTTGAAAAGTTTGATTGTGAATTTATTTTACGTCTTGAAATAGTTTGGAACAATAGAAACGTACTATTTTTATTAAATTAAAAAATAATAATTACAGCTACTTTATTTGAAATTGATGTTTGTAAAGTGATAGAATAACAATTAAAGCTTATATCTTAGACTATAGGCATGCTATGTACTATAATGATACTATATGTCGTAGACAATATATGTATATAATCTGTACCCCACAATTTTTTTTTGGCATAAGCATCTAAAACGAGCGGTGCCTGATTTCTTAAAAAGCACCGTGTCCATGATATCGATTACCGTCACAAAAATCTATTTCCGTTTGTCCCGTCAGCATCAGGACCATAAATAATTTAAGTCATAACAAAATCGTCACGTAGATGAAACACACGTTTTGGCGCGTTATTTTTGTTGCGCCGCGGCACGTGGGGCCGCATCGGATACGTGGTTTTTTGCCACCGGTGACTTTTTAATTTGAGGTGTAAAAAACAAAGGTTGGGGGCGAAAAGACACTTATCTTTCGCGAGAACAATATGTTATCGGTTACGGTTCTGTGGTTCCCGAACTTTTTGAACCATAATTGTTATTGATGTTGCTTAAATTAAAAATAAATGAAATGATTACAATTAAATTAATCATGCCTATTGGATGAGACATAAACTTGACGTATTTTTTGTGACTAACTGTTTAGTTTCAAATCTATCTTTTACAACAAAAGTAGACTGGTGAGAGCGCTCTTTGGATGAATCCTTACGGACCTAAGCTCCTTCGAAATCCTAACTCTGTATCGTTATATATATTATGTTAGTAAATAGCAACGCTATTAAGTTCTATCATAGGCATTATAACAAAATTATCATTACTACTCTTAAAAAGTTTGAGAGACGTTAAATTCCCTGAGCCCTTGTGACATCTCTGCTAGCTTGTAATGACATCCGTCATTCCACACTCCTCGCCCCCAGTATTTTAAAGACGATACTTATAACCGACCGCTATACCTAGACCCTTACAATACTATTTATATCCAAGAAAGTCAATATCTATCCTAATAAGGGGATGTCTTGTGTAACTGGATAAGCATTAGGGGGTGTAATGTGCCACTTCCGATAAATATTTTCCTGCGATCCCTCGTTTTCATAAAAAAGATACAGAAATTGAAAATAGTTGTCCTTTGTCTGATCCTGTTAAAATATTTTTTTATCTAACTAAAAGTGACGTCTTTAGCTGCCGTCGTCGCTGTTTATAACTATGTACATAACACTAATAGAAATAAATATCCTCAAGCTTATATTTCGTAGAGCGTAAGGATTGAATGACCATATATTATAGGCCTTGCACGTATGAGCGCTTATCTGTATACTTATACAGACAAGCATAATCACAACCCATAAACATATCTATAAAGAACAAAAAAACACATTGTTTTTTTCTAAATTAACAATAAATAAAACATGTGTATAGTAAAACAGGGAATTAGAAAATTTTAGTTTATACCAATATTAACGCGAAAGTTTAGATGAATCGATGTTTGTTGGAATGCACATCCATAGCAACTCTATGTATTTCGCTGAAAGTTGATATAGATATAGCAAAGAAATCTATTAAGACTTTTCTGTAATTCCGCGCCGACGCAGTCGCTTGAATAGAGTCACATAAAAGTTCGCTACATCCCAGTAACAAGACTATATGTATTTGGTATAGAAGCTTTTAAATGAAGACAGTACGTGGATAGTTAATAACATAGTATAGGAATCCATACAAAAACTTTAGAGAGATCTGTAATGTGTCGGAAGTGCGTGTCGAAGGCGTACTGTGATGACGGATGTCCGCAAAAACTCTGTCGACACTTTGTATCTGTCATCGTGTGATGTATGACAAAGGTGCAGAGGTGGAAAATCACGTCGTTTGATTTATTTAATGAGCATTCGCGCTGAAAATATACTTCAATGTCGTTCGTCATTTAACGATGCGTTCAAGGGATTTTTCGAATTCCTTTCTATATAACAGTGATATCTGATTTCTCTGCATAAGAAATAGGATCCTAAAATATACCTTCATTTTTCAGTACTAGCTTGTTTCAGCAACTAAAACGTTGTGATACAAATGGATTTATCAAATTCCCATTCAATGACAACAAAGGCGAATAAATTACTCAAAGTTACAAGTTGTTACACGAGGCGCATTTGATTTGTATGTAGCCGATGCAACGACGGTAATGACCGCCTGCGTCAGGAACAGCTTTGTATGGAGATAGCTTTGCTAAATTACTTAAAGTCTGATCTAAACTTGGCCTTTTCGCACTATACCGGATAGTTACAGTAATGATTTTGGAATAAACTAAACTGATTTCCTTGTGCAAAATTTATAATTTAAAATCAAGAAATATCTTAAATAAAGGTATTTTTTTTATCAATTTCAATGCCAATTTTCGCTATTCCTCCTTCGTTCTTTTACACAAGCAACTCATCTGTCTTTAAAGTATGTCAATTTTCTGTCTATCGAAATCGAATTTGAGGTTTAAGAAGCCTTTTCTGCATTGTGTTAGCCGGTGCCACAAAGTCGTGGTGATCGGGCCGTAAACGGGGTCAGGCCATTAGAGCGCTCATTCGCATGCATCCCCGCATCTTTCAGTTCACTGAAGCCAACGACGTCTTGCTTTACAATGCACTAATGATAATGTTTAATATTAATACAAACTTTGATGTACCAAGGTCAACAATAGTTCCGTAATGAACTATTTTTAATTAAGACATAGCCTATTACTACCTCATAATAGTAAATTGAAAAAGCAGCTTGGTTCAACTATTGCAAAAAACGTCTTCGTCACACCCTCGGTCACAGCTCATGTAACTAATGAGAATGTTGTGCACCGACCCGAAGCCAGACCTCCCTCATACAAATTATTTAAATTCTTTACTAATAATCTCCAAGTTATTTCTTTCTTATAACAGAAGGGGGCAAACGAGCAGCGGGAACACCGAGGTGTTCAACGACGCCCATGGACATCAGCAATACCAGAGGAACCGCAGATGCGTTGCCGGCCTTTGAGATAATGATAAGCTCGCTTCTTGAAGAACCCTAAGTCGTAGCGGTATGGAAATACCGCCGAGGACAGACCATTCCACAACGCTGCTGTGCGAGGCAGGAAGTTTTTATTAGTTATTTTCTTTCTAAGCTGTGAAAAAAAAACTATTAAAATTATCCAATCCTCTTTAAATTAGAAAAGACCTTGAGTTAACACGTTTCATGCTGTCGAATTCCTAGATACAAAATTAGTAATTTTTAAATTATTCCTAGATTTAATATACAAGTATCGTGTTCAGGATTATTCTACTGCCCTTATCTATATTATCAAGTCTTGATAAATTTTTTAGGGCCATTCCATTAATCACATAAAACTCGAAATGCGGGAGGATATTGTAAACTCGTGTTTATAGTCGCGTATTATATATAATAACTACGATTAGTTATATAACAGGAGAAGGTGTATTCTACCTCATTTCACGAGAGGGGGTGGTGGTTTAAAACTTGCTAAAAAAAAGTTCACATGATTAATGGACAACCACTTAATAAAAACATCTTATATTATTCTTCCATGTAAGTGCACCCTATTTCATTGATAACCGCATTGGTCCCGTGTGAGACAAAAGTTGCATTCTTGTCACGGCCATATTCCGAGACGTAGACGTATTAATTGCTCTATTGATTCGTATTGCAGAACGTTTGCAATGATTCTCGAAGTTGATGTCTCATCGATATTCAACAGATACACCGTTCAATGGACTTACTGAACTTGTTCTGCTAATTCGTACATATCAAGATCAAAACGCTTTTTGAATTCGAATTTTTCTCCGTGTGAATTTTTCGCAACACGCAAACTGAGTAAACAATGATTACAGTAAAATAATATTAGTAATATTAAATCTGGGAATAATTTAAAAATTACCATATTAGTATCTGGGAATACAACGGCATGGAACGTGTTAACTAAAGGTCTTTTGAAATTTAAAGAGGATTTGACAAGAGTGCATTAAGAGTATCAGTGGTTAAGGGGTTAAGCACTTAACTTGTAATCTGCAGTTCATGGGTTCGAATCTCGTCATAAACCAATGTGTTTTTCTATCTACATATGTTACATTTATTCGACGTTCTTACGGTGAAAGAAAACATCTTGATACTGCAAATATCTGAGAAGAAATTCAAAGATATGTGTGAAGTCAAACCGCTTGGGCCAGCTTGATTGACTATGGCCTAGTCAACCCTAACTAACGGTAGGATCCGAGCTCTTAAGTTTTGACGTACAGTACGCTGATGATGACGAACAGTAAAATGCTTCTTTTTTTCATATACTATAAATGTATATGAAATGACATTTAACAAAAGGGTTGGCAGAGATTATAAAATCAACGAAAATTATTATTTTACATTTTAATATCAAAATTTACAAGCGCCCATTACATATGATAGTTAACAATAATACATACATTTTTTTAGTAAGAAAAACAAGGTCACATTACATTTCGTTCAATTATTTACAAATTTTTTACAAACAGATTAATTTTTGAGATTTTAAATACATTGATTTATTTTATCACCATCAATTTAAGCAAATTTTGTCATGAATTTTGGGGAAAATCGTCATAAATAGTAATATAAAATAAATAATTATTATTATTTAGTAGATTTTAGGATGAAATTAATATTTTAATAATGCAAATTAATTAAATTACAAATAGTTAATGATGAACAATTTCATTTTTAGTAAAAGAATTACGTTGGAATTACGGATTACAGATTGATTATACGAATTTAAAAAATGCAATACTAGCAGTCTTGTAAAGTCAAAAATATTATATAATTATTAAAAGCAAAAAAAATATGAATTGTGTTAAATGACTAGTTATATACCTACTCCATATCAACACGAGTATCTGCTAAATATATTTTCTCCATACATAAAACCTTGTTTTCCTCACATTAAGACATATCCTTTAGACGTCTTGTTATTATAGTTTCCGTTAGTTCGAACTACTGAAAACATACACATAAAATATTGTTAATATGAAAAAACCATAGAAAATAAATATAAAAGATGTCATCGTGGAATTATTTATTAAATTTAAAAAGCTACAATACTTTTTCATATTTTTAAACAATCATCTAGTACGTTTTAGTACGAAAAACTCAAAAACTACCAGATAGTTCTTGAGTTGAAAAAAGAAATGGGACCAAATACCGCATGCTATGTTTTGAATAAAAAAATAATTATGACAATCAGACAACTAGAAGCAGAGTTACGAAGTGACAAAAAACCATAGACAAATTGAGAACCTCTTCCTTTTTGAAGTCTGAACACATTTTTAATATCAGCAAGTATTTTATGCATACATTTTGGCAATAAGAACTTATAATAACTTCATTTATTATCATCCTTTGCAATTACAGAATAGTTATGTAGTTAACCTTTTATTTCAAATGATATTTATTTACGTAAAATAACACTAAAATATTACTACTTTGTATTTAATTCTAAAAAAATATATATATTTACATTTCCATCAACTAAAATTGACTAAATTACAAATAACTTAAAATACGATGAAAGTTTTACAAACTTTTAATAAAAAAAAATGTTACTCGACTTTTATTATATTAATATTTGAACGTATGGTACATTGAGGTTATTTAACATAAAATATTGTTCCATAACAAATAATAATTGCACTATTGGTGGGTTCCGTAGACCAGATGATTCATCTTACATCGATGGATTCTGTAACAATAATATAAACACACATCTCAAGAAGCTCTCGCTACACAGTTGGGATTAAGGGTCCGATACAAAATGCAGTTATCCTAGAAACCGCACGCACCGTGAGAAGGTTCCTGTCTGCTCTGACCACTGGTTGTTTGAGTCATGGGACTCCACAGCCAGTGGTGCTCTTTTTTTAATATAATAAATTTTATTTAATCTTTTTATTTAATTTATGAAATGTAACATAATAAGAATTAGATAAATAAATGAATACGATCTTTACATATAACTATTTAACTCTAGTTAAAGCAGAAAGATGAAATAATCTATTCACATATACACCTTCATGATCAACAGTACAGTTGAACTGTAACTGAAAATTGAAAAGTTTACTGTTCAACAGATAATTCAAATTTTATCAACACAAAAACTAAATTTATAAGTTTGTTTGCTTGCGGACGTATACCTGCTGTTGCTACGGGGGCGGGGCGAGTGGCACCAGCAGGGGCTCGCGGGGCCGGCGGGGGCGGCGTACGGGCGCGCGCGGTGCTGTCGTGCGCAGCCGCGGCCGCCCCGGTCCGCGCCGCCCGCGACCCTCCATAGGACTCCGCTCCACCAGCGCCTCTAGTGGCGCGTCTGATTGCAGCAACGCTGCACCTGTATATACGACTAGTTATACACACCTAGTCAAATTACAAACTTACCTAGATCTCAAATGATCGGCGAAACATACATTAAAACTGCCCACTGTTTTTTTTTTATTTTTATCATCTAAAGTTATGAACCCACAACTCTATAACAACAAGTCATCGCACACAACAGTTGGGGCCCCAGGAGGTTCATGTGGACCCCTTTGCGAATCACTGCATTAAAAGATTAAAAATCTTGTGTGAAAAATATTATGTAGTATTTACATAAGTGTGCATTACAACTGACCAGCGGCGATGGCAGCAGGGTCTGCGGGTGAGGAGGGCGCGCCGGGCGAGGCGGGTGCGGGGGCGGGGCTGGCGGCGGGCGGGGGGCGGCGCGAGAAGGCGTGTCTTGAGCCGCGCGGCCTGCCCCTCCGAGCGCCCCTCGCCGCTCGCATACCGCTCCAACCCGTACGAACATTCGTGTACGCTGCAAACACATTTTTTTTATTATACATCTACCTAATGCAAAAAATAACCAATTTAAACACAGCATAAATTTTCGTAAACCGTCGATTTCGGAAAAAAAATAATAGAGGTTCGTACAAAACGCGTTTCGTCTGTCAAGATTGTCTTAAGAAAAGTCGTTTCAAATTTCACAATGGCGGAGCCAATCTTTATACATAGTTGAAATTTATTTGCTAAACTTATAGACGACTAGAATCGCCAATTCAATATTGTGGGTTTGGACGTTGCCTTGTAAATGCGGTCTAAGGCCATTAATCCAGTGTTATTTATCAATATAATACTAACGCAACGGTGATGGATGTGGCGTGGTATCTACTACCAGTGTATCATCATCATCCACTTGCAGCGGACTGCCCGGCTCAGAAGACTCACGGGACCGCTTCGCCTCCACTGGTCCGGGTTGCTGAATAACATTACACAATTTTATAAACCTATAAGACAATTAACCTACAAATTTTACTTTTTTTACTTACTGGTGAAAGAATTCCTAGTTTTCGCTTTCGTTCTCTTTCCTCTATCATCTTTTTCTCTTCTGATTTTTGACGATCTGCAAAACGCAAACTCATTGTGAAAACAATAAAAAATTCTAAATAATAAACGTATGCTGTAATATAAAAAGTAATATTACATTTGAGTTCAATTTCATCGTCATCCAGCAATAAAGACACGACTTCTTTCGGCTTGAGCGTGTCCGGTTTGAAGTTGCCACCACTTATCACCATTCTTTGTATCTGTAAAATAAATTATTAATACAATCTCGAACGTGATAAGACCATTAATATCTGATTTACATTATGCCAATACAGTAGGACAGTCAACTGGCGCCATTGAGGCAAATCATTCAATACTAGGCCAGCTTGATTGGCACAATTTATATATATATATATATATATATATATTTAAGGGAAGGGCCAAAAGACTAGCGGTACCTAAGACCTAGGTAATCAACGACGTCCAAAGACATCCGCAACACTATAGGAACTGCAGATTTGTCATTTTAAGGAGATGGACATATATATGGTCCTCCTAAGAGGAATACCTCTTAGGAGGACCATATATATGTCATACTGGAGGACAGACTACTCAAGCATCTTTTTTGGTTCGGAACATCTGATACAAAATATTGTACTAACTTCACTCTTCTCAGTGGCACGTTGCACGATTCTCTCCTCAATAGTGCCGCGACAGATGAGCCGGTACACAGTGACCTGCTTGGTCTGGCCCAGCCGGTGAGCGCGGTCCATCGCCTGCTGGTCCACTGTCGGGTTCCAGTCAGAGTCGTAGAATATCACCTGGATATACGACAATTAAGTTATTTTACATATTATATTAATATAAAGGAAATTAGGCGAATGCATGAACTGGAATTAGATATAGTTAGGATTAATGTAGAGAAGTGCGTAAAGCTATCTTACTAATATTATAAATACAAGTGTTTGTATGTTTGTACGTATGGATAATACTCACAGTATCAGCCGCAGTGAGATTTATACCCAATCCCCCAGCTCGCGTAGACAACAGGAACACAAAAATATCAGTTCTAGCCTGGGGAATGAAATTTTTACTACATAACTTTTTAATCACCTTAAAAGGAATTTCAAAGAAAATGCATACATTTTGTGTTTAATTACCTGAAAATCAGCGACCATGTCTCGTCGTGCGGAAATCTTACTGGAACCATCCAACCGCATATATTTATGCTTTCTATGCCACATGTATTCCTAAAAATATACGATCTCTTAAAACAAAAGCAGGCTCAATAACAAAAAAAATGACAAATTTTATCTGAATTAATGACAATATACAAAATAGTTAACTTACTTCTAAGAGATCAATCATTTTGGTCATTTGGCTATAAATGAGTACTCGATGTCCGCGTTCCTTCAGTCTTTTTAACAACGAGTCTAATACTGTCAACTTGCCCGCGTCGCTCACTAGTTGATTCTTATCTGTCAAATACAATAAAAAATTACAACATAACTCACGCCGTACCCCAGAAGGGTAGGTAGAGAGAACGGCGTTCTGTTTAGCTAGTCTTGACACGACTCTCTCTCTTTTACATATTATACAAACATGCGTGCTTTTAATATCAAATTCTTGACTATTTCATCAATCTGGATTTTATAAGTATGTCTGAGACGTCCCCGACCGACAGTGCTACTAATTTCCTTTGTCTATCTCCACACTATTATTCAATTCCCAAAAATTTAAGCTGTACACAATGTAACTAACATATAAGAATTAAGTTAAACTGACCTGGTACTTGTAACGATGCCCAGCCAGTGGGCGGGCGCGCGCTGGCTACGAGCGGTGCGAGCGCGGCCCCGCCCCATCTGTGCGCCGCCTCTCGGTGCGCGTGCGCACGTGATACCGCGAATGACATACGCGTGTGTGCACATACCTACACACATTTTTATTTATATAAATATTCATACATCAATATAATTAGAATTTTGTATATGAATGAAATTAATAAATTTCGAAAATACATATAATTTGTTAAGTAAAATTATTCAGTACAATAATTATCTGACCTTTAGTATGTTTCAAAAAGAACAAGATAGATCTTATACATTTTGTGGAATACTCATTTAGTTCTTTTTTAATTCCGCGCAAACGGAGTCACGGTCGACACCTAGTGTAATAAAAACAGTAATACCTTTTCTTGAACAGTATATAGGAAAGCTGGGAGCGGTGTGGGCGTGTCAGGGTGCACGATGGGCGGGCGCTCCACGTGCGGCACCTCCGCTGCCTCCACGGGCTGCGGCTCCACAGGTACCACTCCGCCATCCTCGGTCTTTATTTCTTGCAGCATCTCCGTCTACAATACCTTGTTAGTTATTACAAAGAAAAATACTCACGGTAAATCTTATCATTTATAATATTGCGAATGTGAATGTTTAGATGTATCTATGGGTGACAAAAGACTAGATATATTTGTACTGCAAATTGAGTAGTCACCTGTCCTTCCGTCTTCATATTCTTTGTTCTCATCGCTCTGTGCTCCACAGTTTCAGCCATAAAGTTTATCGAGTGCTCAGTGTGTGCATAGAATGGACCACCTACAAATTAACAAAATACTATTTTTACATATATATTCTACACAAAATTAACTTAAAAACTCCAAATACCTTCAGTTAACTAAATAAATTACACAGAAAATGCGTGTAATGTGATTTTTTTATTATAATAATACAGTATCTGGATAAGGGAGATTCCAATGGACTACGATTTTTTGTCTTCTTCTCGCTTATAAAGGTTTTTCTCTAATCGAAATATCTCGCTTGCAGAGGTTGTCCGTCAGGAATGAATAACGATTCTCGCTCACAGATGTTTCTCGCATATCCACTTGTTGCATGTTCGCTCTCATACTGTATTTATAAGAATAATTTCTTACCTTCAACCCACCGCGGATCTGTGAATAGCAAATCTTTCCATAATAAACTATCATGTTTTCTCTGCTTCAATATATCAGCGTCAGGACATATGAGTAACATGTCTTTACAGTTTGTACTATCATAATAACTCGGTGGTATGTCTAAAAATTCATTATTTTCTTGTTTAACACAACTTTCCGAATAATTCCGCCACCATTCTCGCCTGTGACGTAATTTTTCGTATTTCTCTTGACATTGTTCTAAATGTTGTATTCTGGAAGTTTAAATTCTAGTTTTTAATCTATAAATGCTGACTAAAGTACGTTAGTTCGGTTTATTGACACGCAAAAGTTGTAATTATATGTAATTTTTATAAAGGAAATGCTCTGCCATCTTGAAAATCGCTACATTACTCACGTCTGACTTTGGCGATGGTAGAATAAGTTTGCGATGCGATGTGTGAACATCAAAGGTATTGTATTGCGTCGTTTTACGACTAAAATTGCCGGATTTCTAAGATTTATATAGCCTTGTGTAAAAAAAACATAAATAAATAATAATAAAAACTTACGCCAACAACCATCCACAAAGCATAATCCTATACAACTCCATAGGCGAGAGATCCATGAATCTTGTAAAACTGAAACAGTTTCCATCCTCCATACTTCTATGTACATACTCCTGGGTTAGTACTGAAAATTTGTTGTACAAAAGATGTCGTTTGGATGGTATTGAGTGCAATAATATGCCATCTTCTGCGATTAACTTCGGCATATGGTAATCATCAACTTGCATCGCGAACGGAGATCTGACGTCACGCCTTTCGAATAATTCTGGGTGGTTACATACCTGAAAAATTTAAGATAAAATATTTTTTAAATTACAATTATGTATATTTAACTATTAATTGCAAAATCATCTTCTTATCTTCTTATTTTCTTAATGATATTTATAATTTTTTTTATTTATCTGACTAATATTACAAATGCGAAATTTTAGATGGATGGATGTTTGTTTGAAGATATCTCCGGAACAACACAAAAGATTTTGATAAAATTTGCCACACATGTAGCACATAGGCTACTTTATTTTTTTAATTTCGCGCGGACAGAGTCACAGGCAACAGCTAGTATAAGATAAATTGACAACAAATATAAACTATTATAGTTACCTTTCTAAATTGCATAACTAAATTCATAAGATTAGATGTAAAATTCTTATCTACATTATGACCGGATTCCGCTCCAACTGAATAATGGAGTAATTCTTCGATTTTTATTTTCTTTTTTAAAGCTTAAAGAATAAAATAAATTATTAATAACAATATAGGACTATTGCGTAATTAAATAAAAGATAAAATAGATGCTAATGCTTTAAACAGAGAAAAAAAGAAAGAGAGAGAAGAGAAAACAAAAAGAGATGTATATAATGAAAAAAAAACTATATACGTACCTATGTATAATAGTTTTTGTCTTATAGTTAAAGGGCAGTGAACCATAATCTCAATTTTATCAGACAATTCATTCTCCACGTCTTTCTTAATACGTCGCAACATGAACGGCTTCAATATCATGTGCAAGCGAGATAAATGCTCTGAAACAATAAACTATACGGTAAGTTTACACTGTTGTTAAACATTTATAACAACAATAATTTAAAAAAAAAACAAGTGTTCTTATACAAGGTATCACAAAAGTTCAAGACCTTGCACTTTAAATTTCTTGACATTACACTAATATATTGCTATCTCTGTTTTCTTAAAAGAGAATAAAAGGAACAGCAATATGCATAAAGAAGTGACATCAATGAAAATTAACCGTAAAATAGTTTAACGTGGGTTTCTGAGACCAAAAACCTCTTTTAACACATATTTTTATCTGTTTTGTCAAAGATAATGATAAAAATTACGATATATTTTATACAGAGATTTTGGTCTTAGAAACCAGAGGTTATTCTCGTAACTTACTTTCATCAATAGTGCTCTTGTTTTCAGCGTGACTCTCAATATCTTTGGAGAACCACTCGTTAAACTCCTCGTGTGAGTCGAATAATGTCGGCATTATAAAATGAAGTAACGCCCATAACTCCGCCATACTGTTTTGTATCGGTGTACCTGGTGACAGATTAAAATATAAAAAGACTATGTAGAAACTATAAAAGAGATTAAATTTGATTTATATTATTAATTAATTTGATATATATTAAGCAATAAATGCTGTTTCTTATTATATATTTCCTTATAAAATATAAGGGACCAGCTGATACCGACGACACCATTGCGCGGAATTAAAAAAAAAGTTTATAAGTAGCCTACATCTATAAATATTGTTCTAAATTTATGCCAATTTTCAGCGAGATCTGTTGAGCCATTTTGGAGATACCTTCAAATAAACATCCATCCATCCAAAAATTGATATAATTAAAACTAACCTGACAACAGTAGTCTATTCCTGCAACTGAAACCCAGTAGCAACTTCCACCTCATACTGGCTGAGCTCTTGATAGCCTGTGCTTCATCCAGTATCATGTACTGCCAGGACACACGATTCAGGTACTTGAGGTCTGACACCACGATCTGATATGACGTCACAACCACGTGGAACGCCGCCTGCTGCGTGTGCAGGTCTTTGCGCTCCCAGAACTGACGTAATATCTTACGCTCGCTCGGACTACCCCAGTATGGTACCTTAGAAATTATAAAATAAAAATTATGACCACGAAAAAAAAAATAATTTAATCAGACACAGCAAACATTTAACACTTCTTCAAACTGCCTCATTTACAATTGGTTTCTGAGACTACATACAAATATTACATGTCATCCCTGTCGTTATCTTTGACAAAACAGAGATAACAATATGTTTTAAACAGGGATTTTGGCCTCAGAAAAACACGGTCAGTCGTTTAATGGTTACTTAAACAATGGTTTAGTCAAGATTTCTCTATTTCATCTACATTAAAGGTCTATTAAGAAACATCTGACTCTGCATGTGGCAATAAGTAATTATGCGATTGATAATAAACATTGAATCTTAAACCTTTGAATTAAGGTTAATTATTTTCTGTATAAATTTGTTACGTACGACTTTAAAGTCCGGCACGAATCTCTGCATCTCCTGCTGCCAGTTGTGCAGCGTGGAGGCGGGAGAGACGACAAGGAATGGTCCCCACACACCGAGCCGCTCCGCCACGTGGCACAGGAACGCGATGCACTGCACAGTCTTGCCCAGACCCATCTCGTCCGCCAGGATACCGCTGATGCCCTAATAATATGCCTATTTGGTCACTTTTTTACTTAGATAGATATTTAAACAAGGTAAATATGTTTATCTCTGTTCTATTCTTACACGTACAACAATTGATTCAACTGAACTATGGTAATCGTTTTTTTTCTTAAATTATATTTAAGAAAAGTCCAAACTACAGACAGATTTACTTCGAGTCACTATAAAATATAGTTATATTATTTAAATGTTACTTTGGTGGTTTGATCAGTCCAATTTTGAACAACATCAGATAACAGAAAAGACACATTTATCCTTAAAAATATCAACGAGAATAGAACTTAAGTAAAAGCTTGTTTACATACCTGGTCGTATAGATTTGCGAGCCAATTCATTCCTTTAAGTTGGTAGCCCTTGAGCGTGCCGCGGAATATATTGGGTTGGGCGTGGTCGCCGGGGGGCGTGTCCCCCGCCGCACCGAACTGCCGCGCCCGCGCACGCTCCGCACGGAACGCCTCCCGCGCGTTACGTGAGGCACGGGCTTTCATTGCCTCGCTATACAAAGAGAAAGAACGACTTTGTAGCACTATTTTCCTTTTTTTTTTAATTTTGGTCATATTATAAACTCGAATGTTTGGATGTATGGATAAAAGGTAACTCCAAAATGTCTGCATACATCTCAGTGTAATTTTGTATAGATGTAGAACAAAGTCAGGACGAACACAGGCTACCTATGTTCCCATGTACCTATGTACCCCGGAAATGTATACAGTTCCCGTGTGGTACGTTTGATTTGAATATTTAGTGAATAAAATCAGAACAGTTTAACACATGTTATTAAAATTTGGCACATGTATAGAACATAGACTTTTCAACTTTTTTTTTTTATTCTGCCCAAACGAAGTCGCGGGCAAAGCAAATAATAAAGGTTATAAAGTTTTCACACTGCTCTTCAATTATGGTTGCAATGAGTCTTTAGTTCCTAAAAACACAATCAAATCAAAATCCCGATAAGCTTGCATCACCATACCTATCATAGTTATCTATGGCCGCAAGCCGTGGGTCGCGATCTTCATCTAACTGTCGCAGTATGCGGTCTGTGCCGCAGTCGTCCTCCCCCCCACCACCCGCGTTCAGTTTGCGCTGCATAAAGTGCGCATACAACTCCGTCTGGGTTATCAGGAAGTTCAGCTTGCGTCGTTGCCGTTTCGCTTCCATCAGTTCTACATCCATCTAAACAAATAAATAAATAAAAACTTTATCGTGACACTCATTTCTTTTTCGCCAGCGTTGGCTCCTGAACTATATTGCTCTTTGTTTCAGGAGCTAATCCCTTTGCCTCGCATTAATTCAATACATATTACGTTTAGTACCAAAATAGAGAGAAAAAAAGAAAAGATCTTTTAATGGGATCTAAGACTTATTGTGATATACGATTTTGGTATTAATAGTGTCAATTTTTGACGGATCAGTCAACTGACTCACTGTTTACTCGTACCAATGAAATCAAAAACATAGAGCTGTAATTATACAAACTTACCTTTCTCTGTTCCTCAGCCTCTCGCTCCATGCGGCGGCGCGTCTCTCGCTCCGCGCGGTCATACCGACGCCAGTATGCCTGCATCTCGCGACTGAGCCGCTTGCAGCGCCATACCGTCTCTTTCATGTTCTTTTGTGACTACACCAATATAATATTTAATATAATAAACTTACTTAATTTTCCGTTTCGATTTATTCATATGAAAATTAACTAATGAGTCTATGGCACTGAACACTTAAATAAATCTTCATCAACATCTCACTATATGTCCCAATGGAGGGTCTCGGAGCCTACCCAAAGTTAAGGGTACATAGATCTTACAATAACATAAATGCCAAAGAATAAATTACTGATTGAGGCATATGTATGCACGGATGGATGTTAAAAGGTATTTTCAAAATAGCCCTAACCCTAAATAAAAGACTAGATTTAACTTTTAAACCATATCCTACATACATAGTGCTAAAAACTTTGTTTCTAGAATGTTCTATACCTGCATAGCAACATGCCTCCAATGTTTGCAGCATAATGTAGCCAAGCGCTTGCTGTGCAGCACCATCTCACGATGTGCGGCACCGCGAGCTCTTTGCACTTTACCTAGTTCCTTCTTCACCAGCAACTGCCAGTGTCGTCTGCGTCGAGCTGTTAGTGCTTCGGGACTCTTTAATGTTGATAATTTCTTCCTACCCCTACAAAACGTAAATATTCACTTTGCAGTTATACACTAAAGCCTAACTAAATAATAATTTTTTTAAAGTAATTCATTACCTGACGCCTGGCTTTTCCACAATCGTAAACTCGTCAGTATCATTTTCTTCCTTCAAATTGCGCAATTGTTCTTCCCAATCCATACCATCAGGCTAAAAAGAAAATAAATAACATGTATGTATTATCAAAAAGAGATTAATATGGACTTATATAAAAAAAGAAACATAAATGCGAATGTTTGGATATATGGACAGATGTAGAACAGTCTAGAAGAACACATAGACTACTAATTTAGTTTTTTTTTAATCCCGCACAGACAGAGTTCTATTCTATAGCTAGTAAACACTGTGGTTTGACATGTTGAACATTTAAACTATGTTTTTATTGATGAGAATTAAACTTTATAAAATTTCACTAACCATATCATTCCCTTCATTTACTCCAACTCTGTTCTCTCTGACTCGACCTCTTCTAGCTTTCTGTAGACCTCTGATTGCACCTCTTTCAGCTGGTCGACCTCTGCGGCCTCTAGATACAGGCTGTTGTGGTAGAGGATGGTTGACCCTACGCTCTGGGTATCTATCTATAGTTGATAGTAGACCTGCTCCATAGTACATGTATCGTGAATTCTACAAAAGCATTATTCCATTAGTTTATAGAGAAAATTAAAAATTACATTGATTATTAACACAACTTTATTCTTTAAAATAAGGAAAAAGCTGGATACTTGAGACCTCTATAAGTGTGAAACTCGAGTAAGAAACTTCTATTAGCAAGGAAAATATCACTATCCCTAAAAGTCTTGCTTATCTATATTTATATATAAATAAATATTGCTGTTTGTGTATGTTAGCTTTGCTGCACTGATGAACTAGTGTCATATTTATGGTGTCAAATTCATTAGTTTAACTAAATAAGGTGTTCTTTATAGCTGGGACAGGCTAAAATTGCTTTTAGCAAACTTTAATACCACTTAATTAACCTTTAACTAATATTTTAATAAACATATGATTTATAATACCATGTTATTGAATAGATACGACATTTATTTAAAATTTATTATTTTAGATTTACTCACTCCTGGGTCTTTATAATATTTTCTAGCATATTTATTGTGATAATGTCGCTCCTTCAGCAGTCTCTTTATCCTTATATCTTTGGCAGCTGGAGTTTCATCTTCGCTACTAGATTCATTGCTTGATGATAGCAAGATATCACGAAGCCATTCTCTTTCCTCACCAACGGAGGCCAAGTTATAAAGACGTGAACGATCACTTAGACGCTCTGAAATAAAATGTAAATATAACACTAGTCTGTGTACGAATCAAATTACACTTTAATGCAACTTATCCATAATCAATAATTGGACTTATATTATTTTCATTTATTTTAATCAAACTGAATGAAGGAATTATTTAAATTGTAATTGTGTTGGTGTTATATTATAAAAAGATTTGAATCAAGACTATTAACTACCTTGTTTTGTAGTAAGAATACCATGCATTAATTTATCACCCCTGCCCATTTCCTTTTCAAAAATAGAGTCTGAATCATCTTCACTGCAGCTGCCTCCATCTGAATTTAGAATTCTCTCTACTTGATTCACAAAAGGCCGGATATCTAAGGCGGCTTCCAGCCTTTGTAGATGTAATGGTCTGGCAACTTCATGTGGCTTAAGCACTGTCTTTCCCGCAACTGATTTCTCAGACATGGTTCCTAGAAATAAGATAAGGTGTAACGGATGTGGATAATGTTCGCATTTCGCAAATAAGAATGAAACAAAAAAGTAACAAGGAAATGTGGAATCATGAGGAAAAACCATTGCCACACCGCTACTATCATACACAACTAGTGATAAATTCAAATAATTCTCGTATCCAGTTAGAGCCGAAGTACGGAGTTGGTACTTACAGAATTTTGTATCCTGTTAAATTACCTCAGGGTGATTACTTAACGCAAAACTCCATAGCATTCACAAAATGGCGAACGAGAATATTCGACAAATCGCTGTCAATGTCGCCGCCCGAGCGGCGCACATAACTACTCATTTCGTATTTGAGCTTGAAAAAACACGAACCCGCCATAATAACTGAAGAGGTTTGACAACTATCGAAATCGCGGACAATCGTTCTGATTGGAGTAGAGAGCAATTGCCTACATTCTAACCAATGACAATCAAAATTGTTCAAATTTACGCCAATCACTAAGAAAGAAAATAATTTGTAATAGAGAACAGGCAAGTCGAATTTTTAATGAATGAAGCAAGTGATGTACAAGCATT